GTAGATTCAGTCATCCAGGACACGGGAATTTAAAAGAACAAAGATGATGCAACTGGACCTTTGTTCTGCAGCTGAAGACATGCAGAGTTCCAACATTTGAACTGCGTGATGTTTGTATCAATGTTATATTTGGATTGATCCACTCACCCCCGCCTCATAGAGGTAACGGTCAGATTAAATGAGTCATGGCCGTTCACACTGAGGACGCTTTGAAAAACATGGGATGTGTACCTGAATATAAAGACCTGGGTCAGATTTGAAAAAATTATCATGATCATATTGTCATAAAATATCCAATATGGGTCACATGGGGGCAAAGAAATCAGATTTGGGACACATTTGCCTGCAGTGTGAATGATCATGTGAGGATTACATTTTATTTCTCCTCAATAGAGCTGTTTGCAACAGGTAAGTTACTGACTGCTCAAAATCTCCACAAAATGCCACCAAAATACTTTAATTAAAAACTGACTGTTCTTTCAGATCAATTCTTCTGGTAGAATCACACAAGTTGTTTTTGTCACTCCATTTACCTGAATGTTGTTGACTCAGCCTCATTTTGTGATGCGTATAGTTGGCAGTTAATAAAGTTAATGATAATCAACCCCCCAGTGTTAGCTATGAATAGGCCCATCATTCAATAAAGCAAATATCTGCTGCATTATGTCCATGTGACATCACAACAACATCTAGTAACCTTCATTAGATCAAGAATGCCGTGCTCGTAATCCTCAGCTGAACACATTATGAAGCTCCGACCTTCGATCCCCAAACTGTCCATTCCATTGACCATGACTCATAAAATGTCCCAGTGACGGTGATGATGTTGATCCACGGTGCTGCCATCAGCTTATGAATTAGTCCGGGCTCAGCGTGGACTCCTGGGGTCTGTGAAAACACTGCAGTCTGAGGCATCACAAGCATTTTCTGACTGCACATCTATTAAAGCTGCAAATATCACACATTCTCCCAGCATGAAGCAAGCCCCCCCCCCCCCCCATTTATGTCTCATAGCTAAGAATAAATAATTTAAATTATATTATACACACAGACGTGGGATTAGAATAATATAAACAAGGATCAGACAGGTGTGTGATATGGGGTGGGACATCTTGCGTTTCTGCATGTGTGTGTGTGTGAGAGAGAGAATACTGGAAGGGATCACTTCATATTAAGGGGGATTGAAGTGATAGTCGAGGACTGATGATCAGAGCTGTCAGCTGTGCACACAGAGAGAAAGTTTTGCACATAAAGGTTCAAAGGGAACGTTTCATATTGTGTTTTGATTCTACAAGCATGTCTGTGATGTAAAAAACTACCAGTAATTACTGAACACCACAATCGTCACTACTGAGCTGGATTAAATGAGTTTATAGGCCATACCTGACTATGAACTTGTCTAATTCAGTTTATAAAGTATTGAATTATTGTTAAATCAAATGCAGTCCAAGGCAGTGTTCAGTTGTTTTGCATGAGATCAGATGTGAAGTTGGGTGTAAAGTTTTCATCCTTGATATGATTTTGTCAAAACATCTGATTCTCTTAGCGACATGACATTCAAGATTTTTTAACTTTTAACTTTCCAAACTGTCCTTTACCAGGTGTGTTTTCTGATGCAGGATTTTTACAAATACCACACGTTGTATATTTTTTGTGCAGCTTTTGAATATTTATCATGTGAATGCTATTGTTTTCTTGCTGTTTTATTTTTCCTAATGACCTCATTTTGGGCTGTTCATTTATCAAAACGTTCGACTCATTCAGGAGATGGTGCTGTGAGTTTTAGTTTTTGTAATCTTTATACTATTCAAAATATTTAATTTTATTTACAAGTATTTGCTAATAAATTAGGATCTCCTTACTTTCTTCAACAAACATTGCTGAAATCTGCTCCAGTATACTTGATAATAGCATTTTTTGTTTATAACTACAAATCTGCTGCTTTTAGCTTTTAGCTATCCTTTCAAAACTTTTGTTTTTCTGCTAGACGTTTGAAAGATTTAGCTTCTAACTAGCTGTTTGCTATTTTTAGCTTCTAGCTATACTTTTCTGCTACATTTTTGCTTTAGCATGTTGCTCAGAATTCATGATTGCATTTTCACAACAGGGCAGCACGGTGGCACAAC